TCCAATGTGTCTGGCTGTTGGTACATTAGTCACAATAGTTCCATGGAATTGTTTCATTGTCACTGAGAGCTGCCATAGTCTTTTTTTAGCATTGTTTCCTATAGTAACCAAAGCTGTGCTCTTCCTCCTCCAAGAGACAGTGTGTAGACTTATCTATCCCTAGTAATCGAACCTGTTGACCAGTTTCAAGAGACTCGAATAGTTACTGTTCTGAAGAGGAGTTCATGAGAATTGGTCAGCCTCCAGCCAGCTGGAGGAGGGAGGTCCTGTGAGCACCTGGCTGAAGCACAAGTCAGTCAACTGCAGGACTCACACCTAGGGGGAAGGAGACTTCTTTGGTGTGGTGCTTGTGGAACAGCTTGATCTAACTTTAGCACTTCTCAGGGAAAAACTGTACACCAGATGCCAGGAAAATGATTAAAGTAGACTCTAAAATACTTGCTTTGAACTCTTTAGAAATTATGAGCGGGATCTAATGAGAAAGTCAAGAGAGTAAAAGTCAGGGTCTTGATTCCACATCGCCAAAGGACTCTATGGACTTCCTATTTATAGGAGGTGATATGGCCAGATGTGGGATTAAAAAATTACTTCTCTATGAAATTTCAAACCACCTACGCAGGGTCTGAAGCCTTAATGACCAAGCTGCCCATGTTGTGCTAATACAAAAATTAGAGCACTCGCCTAGCACTGATTCTGCCAAGGACTCTACATTCAGTTCTCCTCTACCTCAGTATACTCCTTTCTTCTCAGGAGAATTTTCTTTCCACCAGACTCCAGTCTGGACTGTCTAGGAAACATTCTTGACCCTCTCCAGAGGAATCTTTCTATTTTTTGCTGAAATGCAAGGTCATGTTTCCACAGAGAAGAATGCTTTGGACAAAATCTTAAGGCACTTCAGACTACTGGCACTTCTCAGGAGTCAGATGGGTACTTGGCTGATCACCCCAGAAGATTTTAGCACCTTTTGCTACTGTGTCCTTTATCAGAGGACTCATTGGAGAGTCCAAAAATCTTGAGTATGGTCATTTCCTTAATGGGGATAAAAATTGTCCAGTGGGACAAGACAGCCTGCAATGTGATCTCTTATTATGTGGGCATAGAAAAGTCTCTAATGATTCAAAGCTCATTTTCACTGGGCTTTATCTTACAACCTCTCACATCTGCCAAGAGGGACAGTTTATTTCACAGCTCCCTAATGGCTTCAGCACCTTCTCACAGTCTCCTACTCAAAGCTGGGAAGGTCCCGAAGAAAAACRGAATGCCAAAGTGACAGCCTTTACTGCATATATAGATTTTGTATGTGGATTACTCTGTTTTGTCTGGTAAATATCTGTGGTGCTGTCTACTCATATCCATTTCTGTTTCTTGTCTGCACTCACTAGCATGGTCTTATCTCCCTGTCTGTGCCATGCTCTGGAAGCACACAAACATACAGGCCAGGATGTGTCAACATCCTCATTTTTTTTTTAATTGGGACAGATAAGGGAAAAGTTTGGTGTTGATGAGTTTCCCTGACCAGAGAGAGATGGAGTCGAGGAATGAAGTGGAAAAGGGGAGACAGCCCTTGGGCCTCAACCTCAAGTGGAAGGAGCTCTGTCTTTGGGKCTCTTCTGCTGCCAGAACCTGGGTGCAGAGGGTCTCCTCCGCTTCCACYCATGAGAAAGGTGATCTTGGTTTCCCGACCTCTGTGCTGGAGGTCTGGCAGGCAGGCTCGGTAGGACGAAGCTGCAGCCCGCTGGCTCGCTCCCCAGCACGGAGCTTCCATTTCTCAGGGGCTTAGTGGTGTCGGTGTGAGCTGAGCCTCTAAATCTCCGCAGCATGCRGCCCTGGCACTTGGCAGCAGAGGCCACGTCCACAGCTGTCGCGGTCTCTCACCGGGGCTGCTCGCTGGAGCTGTCCGCCCTGCTCGTCATGCTCCCGGGAAAGCCCTCCGCACCGGCCAGACCTCCCGCTTCCCACCAGCACAGCAAAGCCAGAAGCGAAGAGCTGGCCCGGTGAAACCCGGGCTGCTTCGCCGCCCGCCCGGTCGTCCCCTCGTGCCTCCGCGCAGCCACACGTGATGAAAGCAGGTCTGGGGCTGACTCGAGCAAAGTCCTSCAGCGCTGCTGGCACCCGCCGTGTGGTCGTGTCCTTCAAGCCTGCCGCGAGCCTCCACCACTGCAATCAGGGAGAATTCACCCGCGGTTGCAGCAAGCATAGGTCAAGTCCACAGTCCCCAAGAAGAAGGTATTTGTGACACGTGCAAGGCAGGTTACATTTCCCCAAGCCCTTTTCTAACAGTGCAAYACCAGTTTCACTAAGCCCGGGAATGCATCTGACTTTTAAGCACGTATGTCTTCACACAGGAGCCACCTAAAGATAAGGGGACTTGTGAGGATTTGCAAAATTGAGGTCTCAGTCTTCTCAATATCTTTCAAATACAACTGCAGGATTTGCATAAATGGCCCTTTTGCTCCTTCAGTTCCTGACCAACCTGGTTAATATATGAGAAAGTTCAGTAAAAATAACTAAAAAAGCCGCCTTTTAATGTCTTTGTAGCCTGAGTTCTGAGCACAGAAAATACATTTCTCTTTTACCTGAAATGCCCTTGTGTGTATTAAATGAAGAGTGGTGTTAATCCTAGACCATACCCAATCCTTCATGTAATTTTGCATTTGTCATAGCTCAGTGATCTCGCTAAATATTGCTATGCACCCTTAAATAATACTGCCTGTCATGTAATCCTTATCTCAGATTTTTCTCAGTGGCTTTATGTCCTAGCTGAAAAAGAGCTATCACAGAAAATAAATGGGACTGAAATAACAATCCTTTGTATTAAAGTTAGCATTTGGCTTCTGTCCCAGAATTTCATACATCCATATTAGAATCAGATGCTAAGTCCAGATGAAAAGATTTCCTGGATAGGGTTTTTTTTTTTCTTATTCTTAAAGGGCTGATAACAGGCTGAAGGCAAGACACTTATTGTAGTAAAAAAAAGTCTGCCTAATACCAAAGCTTGGAAGGACAAGCTGACATGTATTATTGTTAGGCCTCCCAGCTTGATCGCATTTCAGGATCATGGAATCCCTCTCCTGGTGAACACAAAGTGTAAATATTCCTGCTCGCTTTGGCAGACGGGCAGACCCGAGGGCCGAAAGGCTCCTCAGGAAGACGCCTTTCCCTTGCTCCAGCTGACCGACCCGGGCAGGCGCACGTGGGCAGGCTCTGGGCAGGCTCTGCAGAAAGCTCTGCCTTGGGGAAAGCGGAGGAGYGGTGCTTTCCCTTGGCCATGGAGGCTGTGGGCATGAGCTCTGAGCTATAAATCAGGTTTTTGCAAAGCAGCTCTTCTGTAGGTAGCCTGCTGCTTGAGATGGGAGGCTCTAATTAGCACTTTCTTGAGGATATTTTTGCTCCGTTTTGATGCAGTATCTTCAGCAACGGACGTAGAGTACGAAGTGCAGGTTGCATCGATCCTTAATTTCAGCTCGTGATGTCACAGGATATTGGAAAATGGATGTGGTTTGTAGATGTGCTGGTTTTCTAAATAATACGCTTTTTTAAGTAACTGATATGTAGTTTGAATGTACAAGCAGAAATCCATCTCATCGACACTAGGCATTAGCAGCATCAGTGTCAACATCTGAGCTTGTTCATTTTGTAGTCAGTCGACAGAAATATGCATTTTACAGGAGGAATTCATCTGATCTATTTTAGTAGTAGTTAGGTGAGATGAATCCCATATGGCATGTTTCTGAATAGCACTATTCTCACACTCTGTGTTATTTCTTTTTTTTAATTTTTTTCCTCTACCAGAAGTTACCGTTGGGAGTTCACAAAGAGGCTTCTTGTATTAATGAGAAATAGCAGGCTCCATCCCTAGGATGTCTTTACCACTGATAATTACAGCTACCTTCATTCCTGTGGCAGCTGTTTTGGTTGATGTATTGATCTTGCAGCTGTGACTCGGGTACTCGTTCAATGAACTGGGATGAAGGGTGTTCTCTGGGATATGGTGGGCACGTGGGGCAGAAATTTCCGAGAGACCCTGGGACTTCCTCACACTATCCTGGAAACAATTCCAGGAAGGCCAGATGTATCATATACATGCCTGTTTTCCGGAGAGCTGCAACATCTGGGAAGAGGGATAAGGCAAAGTAATTTATATCAGGAAGGAAATTGTGGAAAAGTGAAGGCCAAATGTCCTAGGGAGATGTAGRGAAGGCGTAGGGGTTGGGGCTGAAGAATGGGGAGTTTCAACTGAAAAGCACAAGAGTAGCTGAATGGCAAACGAGGGCAAAGTGAGCTCTGTGCTGCAGGACAGTGTTAATGGCCATAAGGGTTGATTGCCCCTTCATCTGGTTGGCCTGAGCCACATATACTGCACCATCCAAAGGGAAGAACAGCCCCCAAAGCTGGTCCCCTCTACATATGACAAGGCACTATAGAGAGGCACTATATTTACTCTGGTAAATACAGCATTTTAGGAGGGAGAAAAATTTCTTGTGAATAGCTATGAGGAAAAAAACATCGAGTAGTGCCTGATAGCTAAGGAGTCAGAGCTGCTTTTGAGGTATATAAATAAACAGAGAGTCACAGAATAGGAGTAATAAGGTGTTATTGGCCCCRCATTTGTCACTGCATCAAACTTGTGTAACCAAATTGATTTTCAGAGGGTGCTGACTGCTGGCAACATGCTCCTTTAAAGCAGCTCCTGTTCACTGCCTCAAAATCTATCACAGCTTTTGGAGCTCTTGACTCCTGAGTAGCGTTCTGATATCTGGGTTATTGACATCTAGAAGCTCAAAGCTCTCTGATGAGATTCATTCAGCATTAGTTTTCCTGTAATTAATATCCCTGATTATGTAATTAATTTTTTTTTCTGGTTGAGAATGCATTCTGTTTCATAAATTACTAATTTTCCTCACCTCAGATCTRTTAACTCTCCCAAGTTTTACATCAATACTTGCAGTGTTGCCCAGTGACATGCGTTTGCATTTCCTTTATTTTTGATCTTTTYGCAGAGGTGACCGCAATCGCGCCATCCATTCTGAAGAGCTCTCCCACAGACCAGCAGATGAGCAAGCTCGCGAGGAGCCTGGGGCCTGAGTGGGAGCAGGTTGCCCTGTGCCTGGGTCTCTCGCACTCTGACGTCTACCGCTGCAAGGCCAACCACCCGCACAACGTGCAGTCGCAGATCGTGGCGGCGCTGGTGCTGTGGAGGCAGCGCTTTGGGAACGGAGCTACCATGCAAAGGCTGCAGGCCGGCCTGAGCGCMGCAGAGGTGGAGCCCGGAGCCATGCAGCGCATGCTCGAGTGAGGCTGCGCCGCTGGCGGCACCAGTCGAGCGCTTGGCTAAACCCAGGCCAGCGCCAGGAGCTGTGGGTAGAAGCTCTGGTGCCGCAAGCTGGGGAAAATGGGCTTGGGAGCTGTGGTTTTATTAATCTTAGACATTCTGGTTGTCCGTGGCATCTTCTGGCTTTCCATACCAGATGAATTTTTAGCGAACATTAAAAAAAGGATCGCTCTTGCCTCTTTACTTCTGTGCTATTTCAGTGGGAAGATATGGTGAAACTAAAAGTCTCTGCGAGCAGGAAGTCCTGTAGCGAGTTCAGCAACCAGTGAGTTCAGTTTCATGTTTCATTATGGGAGCGACTCTTGGTTTAACCTATTTTCTGGACTGTGTAGGAGCCTTTTTTTATTGCTGTTCACTCCTAGCCCCTGATATCCCAGTAAGAAATTAGAATAATCAGGGTTACTGATTTAACAGTTTTACCACTGTTATTGCAGGTGGCTAATTTCACTTTTATAAAGGTTTTAGCACACACAGGTTCTTGCTAGGACAGGTGGCCACCACCTTAGCTGGCCTCAGAAACTGGCCCTGAGTGGAAGTACTTGGAACTTCATGCTGCCGAGGGGTTTCCCAGTGCTATTTTATTGGTGCAGGTTGGTGCAAGGGGATGGGCACAATGTGTATGTGCCGCCTCTAGGCATAGAACTGGTTGGGAATTCCCTGGGCACATCATACACCATGCACAGGTGACCAGAGGTTATGCAGGAGCTGGCAAACAGAGCAAAAAGATACTTGAAAAGTGAGACACTTGTTTGTCTCACTGTGCAAGTCTGTGCCCAAGTTCACAGAGCCTCTCTGCCCAAGATGACAGAGCAGCCCTCGCTGCTCTCCTTCCAAATTGTGCCAGACCCTCTGCTCATTTGCTTCCCACCTGTTTTTCTGCATCTGACTGGGGCTTCATGATTCCTGTCCTTGTTTCTTTGACAGCAGTCACCATGTCACTGTTAACAGTTAGATTTTACCCAGAAGAATCGTAAATCTTGGGCTTTTCTCCTCCTYCCCTCCAGCCAAAGAGTTTTTCTTCCTTCTGGAAGAAACCACAGAGCTTTTTGCTCAGCAGCAGAAAGGGATATCAGTCCTCAAGGAAGGTGTCCGAGGGCAGCAGAAGTGGCCAGCTGCTTCCTGGGACCTGGGGATGAGAGGCAGAGTACAGTTCAGTGCTTTCTGCACAGTTTGCTCCCCAGTAGATGAGGAGCAAAGCTTGGATGCTGGGTTTCCAGGTCGAGTTCCAATGGAGCATTTTAGCTGCAGTCATTGCCAATTAACTTCCTGTCCTCCCGGATCTGCCCCATCTAATTTAACAGCTTCACAGCTTTGTCCGATGTCTTTATGGAGGCAAGAATGAGCTTTGCAGTTTCTTTTTAAATCTTTCCTCTATGCAGATATTCAGAAACATCTGGGAAATTAGGAAAGACAAAAGAATTTTAAGGACACCCCATGTGCCTTGCTTTTCATGGTAACAGAGAATATATCTGGGCAGGATCAGCACTTATAGGCCCTGAAGCAATTTGGTAGTATCTTATTTTTAGTCTTATATAATACAGCTCTGACCTTCAGTAAATCATGATCCTGTTATACCTCACTCAAATCTTAATTGATTATATCCGATTATGGCTGCTTACAGAGTTTAAGTCTATCAGCAAGTCCCAAATAAACAATGTAAATCAATTTAGGCCTGGGTTTTTTTTTACTTTACTGTTTCACAATGCTTTAATGTCAGCATATTCCTTCTGTTTGGAAGTCACCTGAGTGCAGATGGGGTTGTATAGGTGTGCAGASATTTGGCAGATTCTGGAAAACATGGCCCAAAGTCGAAAGCATGAAGACTCTGACCCGATTCTCTCAGAGATAAGAGATAAACAGCAGTGTCAGCTGTGGCCAGCGAAAGGAGCAAAGCTGTGCCTGTTGCAGCACTTTGGAGGAGCAGAAGCTGGAGATGGGGATCAGGGAAGCTACTGAAAACGTGATTTACAGGAAGAAGCTACCTCTCAGTCACATAAATGCAAGCACCATATCTTGTTCTAACCCACTGYAGACCAAGCCTTAACATAGACTTGTGTTCCAAGGGAGTTGTCCCCACTTAACCTTGCAAAAGTTAACTTTCTTCTCTTGGACTAATTTTGCATTTTATGATATTATGCGTTTGTAACATCAATGTCAGGTTGCCAATAACAAATGCATTCAGAGTATTTTTAATGAAGTTTTTAAAAGCTCCACAGGGAGTAGGTATAAAACTTCATGCCAAATATGAATTTATAAGGATAAGCGGAAACTTTATAGGTCAGATATCCTTCGTGTATCTAGCATAGGTCACTGGAAACTTGAGGGATCAGTATCATATCAGGTGATTTCTGCATAGCATTTAAATTGTTCTTTAAATGGGCTGAATTCTGCATCCCAGGAGCCCTGGCTAGACAAGGAATTTAAAACCTGGCCCTTTGCATTGTAGAAAAGAGCACTTCATTCCCAATTTATAGCTACTTTCACATTCCCAGGCCCTAAATTAATGCTGTAATACTTGAGCTGCAAATATTGAAGGGAGAGGTTTAGTTATTTTATGAGACTGTTTCCATTGCTGTTATTTTTAAATTCATGGAAATGTTCCTCTTAGACTCTTCAGTTTTGTTAAAGCTCATTCTTGCACCACACAAGACACACTTAACTTGCCAGTAGTATTCCTTTAACCCAGTGGATTTTTCCATCCACTTAAAAATATTTTTCTTCCGTGTGTCATGCTTTATATTACACAAGGATGCAATTAAGACAATTTAGTTCTTCAGATATATAGCAAGGCCTCTCATTCTATCCTAGGACAGCTGAAAGGTCTTAAAATTTTTATTCTTCTCTGGCTAATTTGAGACCAAATATTGTTTGTTTAAATGTCACTCATAGGCAAGCCTGCCACTTGAGTATTGCTCAGGAGCGAGGCAACCCAGGAAGCCAGTYTTCTTGTCCCTGGGACAGCCAGACCAGCAAAGAGCTACGATGTGTGGGTAGGCTGCCGGGTTTGCTTCATGACATTAATTTCCTACATCCATGAGCCCTTTCTGGAAGGCTGAGGGCCAGGCTGTGGGCTCCCTGCTCTGAGGCCTCTCAGTCACTTCAGTTTCCATCTCCCACAGAGAGGGAACATAAGCAGCAACCTATCCCTCCACCCATGCATGGCAGTCAGAGCTGGAAATACCACTTAAAGCCCCAAAGGGTAAGATGGGGTTGGGTAACACCAAAGGGCATTGAAAGATCTGGGGCTCTGTGCTGAGCTCCTTGGGGCTCCGGTGGTCGCATGGGGCAGCCATCCCATCAAGGCCCTGGCCTGTCATCCAGTGAAGGACGGTGGCGGCTGCTCTGCCCTCTGCCACTGCCCACCATGGCCTCTTTGGTCTTCTTGCTTGAGCCTGGGCTCAGGGGCAAAGCTTAGCCAGCAGCAGCTATTTTCTGATATGTTTGGGTGTCTCAACTGAAGCCAAGAGAGCATGTCTAGTACAAATCTTAATTTACTCATTTGTGGCAGCATTTAGTAGTCCCTGGAGAAGAGAATGTAAAGGTGGCCTTGATGGTCCTTCTACAGGAGAAGCCCGCTTAGCTTCTACCCCTTGGAAACATTAATCTTTGTTTTCCATTCTTGGTCTATAGAGGAGACTTGGAGGTCTCAATTAGCTTCCTTAAGTAGGAAGAAAGCTTTGTGAAAATGATTTTATACCACGAAGAGCACAAGTGGACTCTCACCCTAACAAGAAGTAATGACCAAGACCACCAATTCCCACCTGCATAAAGCAATGTGGATTATCACAAAAATGGGAACTCCTTGGGACAGAATGATGTTGATGAGGCTCTGCACTGCATTAAGCAGTATCTGTGCAGGAAAACTCAAGTGCAATCATCTATCAGCTGCTTCTCCCAGATAAAGAGAAGAAAATTTCCATCTTGAGTCATTTATTATGACAGTCATTGATCTATGGAATAAAACATTTTGCAAAAGGCTGGAAAAATAAACAAAGTCATACTATATCCGAAGTATATAAAAGGCACACTGATCTGACTCTAAATATGGYCATGCTGCCAATTTTGTTTCTTAGTGGAAATAAAAACAATCTCTGAGCGCTTATCTATTTTTAAGCGTCTATATTCTAGATAATCTTAGACTCACTGATCTTATGACACAGTAGAAACAGAGCAGGAAAGAGAGTTCCCAGGAGGTTTGTGGATTTACAATGAACATTCAAAAGGTTTGTCCAGATTTCACCAAATGAAAAATTTTTGACTTTCAAGGTGTCTTTCTGTCACCTGGCAACTAGACCTAGAAATAAATCTAGTGATTTGTCTTTTTGGCCCGAATACAATGTCTTTTAAACTGTGTTCCTGAGAAAGAGAAACAATTTGCCAGAAACAGAAATAATCATTCATTCTGTCTTCCCAGATTAGGAAAAAAAAGCGTCTATTTTAGCAGAATTCCCTCACATTTTATTTGTGAGAAAGATGGGATTGGCCATTCCTCACTGAAGCTGCCGTGAGGATTTGCACGGGCAGAGGAGCGTGGCTGAGCAGTTCATGGCATGGGAAGGGCTGTGCCACTTCTGCCACAGGGACCACACCAAACCCTCTGCACGTGGGGCCGGCCAGGACTGTTCCTGACACTGGTGGCTGATCCAAGCCCCAAAAGCAAACACAAAAAAGCAAAAGAAAAGTCTATCATTGACTTCAATGCACTTTGGATTAGGCCTCTCTAATCAGAACCTGCTGAAGAGTGGTGCTTTTACTGCCTCGCCTTGAAAAGGAGCCTTTATGGAGCTCTTGGCAACAAGAAGCCGCGGGGTTTCGCGGGTGAAGCGAGCGCTCTGCCTTGGCGCGGGCCTCCTTTCCCTGCCCCAAGTGCTGCTTTGCGCTCTTCGTCCCACAGGACACGTCGCACGTGAGAGAAGGCGCGAGGAGTGGGGCTGTCCCAGACACATCCACAGGGCCCGAGGCCTGTCCGTGTGCCTCCGGCACCATGAATGCACTGTTCAGCTCTGGAACAGGAATAATCCCCTCCAAGGAGGGCTTTGGTGGCTCAAGGGATCACTAGGAGAGCCGTGGAGCTTCTCAACCCAAAATCAAGCCACCAGAGCTGCTCTTGGCCCAAGCCAAACACAACCCAAGGGCAGCCTGTGCGAAGCAGATCACGCACTTTCCTTATTGTGTCTCCAATACAGCTGGGGCTGCCCTGCCTTGGTACTTCCTCATGCCTTGGTGCTTCCTACCTCATCCACCCGGATACTGGACGTGAGCCCCAGGAAGGGGCTGTGCATGTCCCCACTCGGCTGAGGCCTCRAGGGAGACACCACTAACCACATGTCCCCATGTTGTACCTTAAAAGAAGCAGCCCTTGGTGCAYATGGCCTACGTCCTTGGGAGCCCAGTGGGCATCCTTGTAAAAAAAGGGATATATAGACATATTAAAAGGGAAATAAAACCTTATATTGCCTGAGCAGACAGACCTCAGTGGTACTGTCTTTTATGAGGTAGTTTTATTTTTATGTATGCATTTGCTAGGCTTTAAATAAGAAAGTGAGCGAATAACCAGAACATGTGGGGACTCCTGATAAGGATCCTTCTTTCAGGTTATTAAACAACCTGCAAAGCGAGCGCTCAATTATTCTTGCAAATGCTTGAGCAACACCTTCCGCTCAGATTCCCAGCTGGAGCTGCCTCCTGGTAGGCTGCCTCCCGGCGAGTTCCAAGAAGCGGCATGTGTCGGGCACACACCCCTCTTCCCGATAACACTGCCTTCTGAGAAAGCCTCGGGATTAGCCAAGCAGCCGCCACGAGGGCCCTGGGAAAGGCACCTTCTCCTGGCATCCTCCCCGCCTCTCGCCTGGCGCCCCTTGCCGCTGGGTCTATATTCAATGTTCTTCCTCTCCACTGCTGCTCCTGAGYTCGCAAAGCTGAGGAATCTCTTCAGGCTGCGACGCATGCGGCGATGCACCCTTACTATTAAGAGATTTTGACTAACAGGCAGCACATCCCGGAGTATTTGCTTTGTTTGGAGTTTGCTGGCTGAGTAAGTGCTTGCTGTGCTGAGAGATGGGGGAGAAGCAGAAAACTCCAAAAAAACGGACTCTGGCCAGCAGCGCGGCGGGCAGGCTAGCTTTGGAGCCGTGGTRCAAATCCCAATGCTGCACCCCTGCTTGGAGCAGAGGGGCATTTTCCCTGTGATCTGCACCATGTTCCTTGCACAGTGCCAAGCATTTGGGCCTTGCAGCATCTGAGCAGCATTAACCAGAGCTGCCTCCTATCTCACGTAAAAGTCACACTGGAAAAAAACACAAGAGCTGGAAAAAAGCAAACCAGAAATGAAACCTGAGCCTGGCTGACCATTTCATTGTGAATTTGAGGATTTTTTTTTCTTTTTTCCCTGGTGTGGACACAGCCCAGGCTTTGTGGCACTGCTGATCCAACTCCCTGTCCTTCCAGGCTGTATGTGCCAGGGCTCTCGCGGAGCGGTCCCAGCAGCAGGCACCCTTCAAAGGCAGGGGGGAAGGGGAACAGGCAGAGGGACCCATGTGCGTGGGCAGCCAGGGGATGAGGAGTGGGGAGACAAAGTCAGCGCAGCGACTGGACAAC